CGTATCGTGACTATAAGTTTTATTATGGGTAGCTGAAGGAGGTATAGCGCTTAATTAATCAGAAAACAACTTCGACAGCAAGCATTATTACGATGAGTACTCAACTTGGTAATGATAACTCAAAAGTCACTACTGACGGCGAGGTCGATTCCCCAGTGATCATTTTAAACGAGTTTAGAGAGAGAAGTAAGGATGAGCAAGGTTTAACTCAGAATGCAAACGCAATCGCACTGAACACCGATCATGCAAGAAAGATTTGTTTCATTGCAAAGCTGCAACCTTTGTTCCTTCCTATGAAGCTGTTTGGATTGTTCATCGACGATATAATGGATTATGAGGGAGTGCCAAATCGAAGCCGAGCTTCTGTATTTGCAAATCGTTTGTATCAGTGCTTCGTTTTACTGGTGTTTTGGCTCAACTTTGGCAAGACTTTGGCTTCGTTTTGGGTCGATAAAGACCACCGTCACGATGACACCCTAGTCCTTGCAATGATGTTATGGTTTCTGCAGACCGCTCTACAAGCTACGATCTGTTTCTTCACTATGCAAATCACATCCAAAAAGTCCGGTCTGAAAAGTTTGATGTCATATTGGAATTCTCAGCCGAACTTTGACGAATTGGTAATTGAGCCATACATGATAAAGTCCATCAAGCGAACACTGTTGGTCACATATTTCCTCATGGCATTAAATTCAGTGTTCAACGCTTTAATTGCTTTTCTTCCCTCTGAATCCCTACAACTCCTTGCAAGAGCGCTAATGTCCCCCCTCCCTATCGACAACATAGCAGTGAAGGTGCTTAGCTTTGTAGTTACTTTGTACTGCACAGCCGCCTGGCTGATGCCGTTGGCTATCTTTACAGCCGTTTGCCTGACTTTGACTCATCAATGCGGTCGTCTTAGAAAGGCTATGCGCTTGACTGCGTCCGCCGATAGACTACGGAGGGTGATAATTTTACGACGGCAGCACTCGTCGTTATGTGGCTCTGTGAGAAAAGCGGATAACTTATTCAAGTTCTTAACACTTGTCGTTTACGTCACCAACATTCCGCTGGTTTGCTTTCTGCTCTATCATTTGATATTCATCAAGTATAATGACACGACCACGATTTTGATTTTAAGCTTTTGGTTTGCTAACGTTATTGTTATCATGGTGGGCGTGTCTTTCCTGGGGGCAAGCATAAACAACAAGGTATGTGTATTGTGAGAGGTACTCTAGCTCTAACTAAAACAAAAATTAGAAAAGCCATTATACGGTCAGAAAAACTGCAACAAGCAATTTCATCAGACTGATAATAACGAACTACCGAGAGAGGGCTTTCTCTTGCAACTGAATGCCAAAATCTGCCGAACAGAACCGGTACTTATATGTTGGGAATCTCAGATATGATTGAATTGGTACCTGTCAAGGCCCCACGAATTCTCATAACCAGTTCTAACAATTAATTTCTGTTATTAGCAGTAAGTGAAAGGTCATTACGCTTCAAAGGTTAATTTCAACTGAAACGTTGAACTAGTTATGATTAGCCAATTAAAGAATATTTTAAATTGTCAGCTTACAATCTAACTTTAATATTAACAAGGGAGGGAAGGCTTAGTAAGGCCTAGCACCGGACGTGATTTTGCGAATTTTTTTACCATAAGAACTGCCCGAGACACAAACACTTTTAACCCTACAGATAATGCTCTTTCTTGCACTTTTAGGGAGACCCTCAACCATATGGATGAACTTTAAAACAACCAAAGTTGATTTTAAATAAGGGATTTTAGTTCAGATTTGTAATAGAGCAATAAAAAGCTCGTCGTAATTCTCAGAAATTGTTGGAGGGTTTTATTTTGGAGATAATTTTTTGTTTCATTTCTTTCATAGATTCATTCCTTCACGGAGGTTGTTCAGAAAGTTCAAATTTCCAACGTTGATTTGGATACACACACTGAGGTATGCTTTTAAAAACCTACAATCCTGGCACTTTACAAAATGCCAACTGCATGGTAAAGCAATGTTTTGAAGTGGAAGTCATTGTTCAATTTTATGAGCCCCCTCCACCCAAAGCAATGTTGGAATAGGGTGTCTACTTTGAATGGATCAGCCGCGGCATCATGTGTTGGGGATGGGGAGGGGAAGGTGGACAGAAAGACCATATGTTGGCAAAAGTGCAGAGTGCACCGAGACTTATGGTCATGCAGGATTGTAGCTATGTTTTTTAATGCGATTCTTTAAGTCTGACCGAATTCGCAAAAACATGCCCACATTGACTAAAAGACAGTCCCACCGGCCAGAAGTCATCTGACCACCCCCCTCCCTGGCTAGGAGATTGGCCCCTCACGCATGCGTGTGGCATGGACCACTCCAGCAGGGTCCCATGTTAACAAGGTTAAACAACTGAGTAAAATACCCAGAATAACAAGCAATAGACTGCAAGGCTGATACTACGTGA